TCAGAAATGCTTAACTCCAACTCAAAGACAACTGTTGTGAGCATATTCATAGGGGAACAAGAATTGCCGAGTTATAGAACTCCTATAGGACTGCTATGAAAAGCATACATTTCTGACGGCTAACAAATGCGAAATGACAGTCATTTGCATCTGTATTATCTAATTTAAGCAATATCAATTAACTTCACCTAGTTAGCAAACTAATGTGTACTGCATGATAAAAAATATCCCATTGCACGTTAACAAAGTTAAATCTCAGGATGGTTTTTCATTATTTGAATTAAAATCTCTTAAATAGTGTTGTGACCACTTGTTTGACAATCAAAGAAGACAACAGATTTTGGCTATAAGTATTTACGAACCGCAAACAATGTTAGGCTCTGAAATAACACTTAACAATGTGATGACAAAATTTTTTTTTTAGGATCTTCGTTGACTACAAGAAAAATAACACTTTTATTTCATTTTTGGCTTGCATTTATGAAAACATTTGAACCCACCTCACTCACTAGGCATGAGGATGTGATTTGCCGGGATAAAGTCTCACCAACAGCAAACACAAGTTACAAAATTAAGGTTACAGAGCTGTAAGCTTTACTTCCGCTATCACAGCAGGGTATGTAGAATCATCTGTAGTTTTCAATAAAGCAAATAAACACCATTTTAAAAAATATCAAGTTGGAAGAGATATGAAAGGACAAATTACCTTTCATCAGTGATCTTGCTTCTCAGTGAAAGTTTTCGTTTCTTCAGAGCAGGCTGTTGTGCTTTTGTGGCTGAATGTTATCAGTTAAGGTTAATCTAGGAAAATAGGTTACTAGTGTGATCATCATTCTTTCAACTGAAGCTAATGCTAGGAAGAACTATGAACCATCATGAACACACGCCTATTAAAAGACTTCAGCTGGGAATTTCTTCATGAATTCTCCCAATTCGCTAGTGGAACTTTGGCAATTGTCAGCAAATAGCATGTTTATGGATATAACAATTTCTCAATAATGAGGATAATCTAAGTCAACTGCAATTGAAAAAAAAAGCACCTTTGTAAGTACCTTTGCTTATTTGTATCCATAATTTCCCTTTCACATAATACCTTACACAAGATGCACTGCAGCAACTCATCCAGAGATTTTTAACAGCACATTTCAAACACATGGCCACTACCATCTAGAAGGACAAGGCCAGCATATACATGGGAATAGCACCACTCGTAAGCACCACTCCAGGCCATTCACCATCCTGTTTCGAAAATAAAGCACCATTCCTTCAGCCCCACTGAGTTCAAATCCTGGAACTGCCTCCCTAATTGCACTGAGGTTGTCTTTATCACCACTGCTCTCCCATGAACTTCAGTGGTTCAAGAAAGTGGCTCACCACCACCCCCTCAAATGCCATGAGGGATGGACAATAAATGCTGGACCAACTAATAATGCCCACATGCCATCAATGAATATAACAGAGAAAACAGTTTCCAATTTGGAACATTGTTCTGTCCAGGGGAGGCAATGGCCTAGTGGTATTATCGCTAAATTATTAATTCAGAAACTCGGCAAATGTTCTGGCAACCTGGGCTCAAATCTCCACCACGTCAGATAGTGGAATTTGAATTTTTTTAAAAATCTGGAATTAAGAATCGACTGATGACCATGAAACCATTGTCAATTGTCATAAAAACCCATCTGGTTCACTGATGTCCCTCAGGGAAGGAAATCTACCATCTTCATCTGGTCTGGCCTACATGTGACTCTGGACCCCCAGCAATGTAGTTAACTCTCAACAGCCCTCTGGGCAATTAGGGATGGACAATGAATGCTGGCTTAGTCAGCGATGCCCATATCTTGGGAACAAATAAAGAATGTGACTTGATGCATTTCTAGGGCACAATCAGCTTCTGTGTAAAATAAATGTGAACCACAAGTTCCAGTAAAGCCACAACCTAACCCTTTCCCAGGGCTTTCAGACAGAAAGATATCCTAAAGGTCTTCTTGAGGAAGAATAGAGTCCAGCAATGGAGATGAATTAGAAGCAAAATTAGAAGATTTACATAAAAGCATTCAAAATTTGAGGGCATTAGGCAGGAAATCCCAGGCTATCGGCTGTGGTTCAATTACTGCTACTCTTGCTCTGGATTCAAGGGTTCAAGTCCCACTTGTGCACAAAAGTCCAGGCTGACACTCCAGGACAGTGCTGAGGAAATGCATCTTTGGTTGGTGTTGTCTTTCTGATGAGGCGTTAAACCTGTCTGCCCTTACATGGTGCTTGCAAAAGGTCCTATAATACAATTTCAAAGAAAATAATTATTCTTGTTGTTCCAATCAGTATTTATCTCTCAATTAACATTGAGAAATTACATTGCTATTAGTGGGAGCTTGCCATGTGCAGATTGGCTGCCATGTTTCTTACATTCTAGCATTGAATGAACTGCAAAAGTATTTTGTTGGCTTTGGAACATCCTGTGGTCTTGAAAGCTCTCTAAAAATAAAAATCGATCTTTTACTGAAAATGTATTGCTGAAAAAGGGCATATTTTGTCAAAGCTTTCTGCCTTGCAGTCATCAGGACACTTTGCAAGAACACCAAACTAAAGGAAGAGCAACATTCATGTTGTATGAGAGGTTGTGTTGGCAAGTGTGACTGCCATTGATAGAGGTATTGCCAATCAGAATGCACTTGCCAACCAATCAGCACTACCTTCTCATGCAGTATGACTGTTGCTTTTCCTTTTATTTGGTATTCTTACAAATTGTCCTGATTAATGCAAGATAAAAAGCTTTGACAAAATGTGTCCTGTTTTTCAGAAATACTCAAGTTGTACTACCGGTTCACAATTAAATAATCCAAAACTTAAACTTAATGGCAAGCTCATTTTATGCAATTTATTTTAAGATCCATCTTCAAGAACGGGTAAATGACTATGGATTTATTTTTTATCCTGCCACAATTTATTGGACAGCTTCCTGTGATAATGTCGTTGATTTTGTTTTGGTCTTTCCTAGTAAATTTTGCACAACAAACAATTATACTGAGGGCTGTTTGAAGGAAGTGCTTTCTGGAAGTAGAAAATAAAGATGAAAATGTTGATTAAATAAAACAAACAGCTCCCAAAACTGTGGAAGAATTTTTCAAACATGTTCCAAGCAAATTAACAGGATGCAATCCGTTTTCAATGCTCATACAGTGAAAAAAAATCCACTTTATGACCAGCACTAGGAGGGGGAAAACTTGAAACTGAAACTCAGCCACCGTGTCTGCACCAACTCTCTGAGCATTTGAACTTTGTGCCAATCTCCTGCGTTTTGCCCATAACCCTGCACATTATCTAAATAGAACTAATCATCCAATGGCCTCTTGAATATTTCAAATGAACCTACCTCCTCTGAATATTCAGGCAGCGCATTCCCTACCCTAATTACTCATTGTGAGAAAAACTCCTTACTCCCTTCATATTTGCTTCTTTTGTAAAACACTTTAAAACTGTGCTTTCTTTCTCACAGATAACAAGGTGTAGAGCTGGATGAACACAGCAGGCCAAGCAGCATCAGAGGAGCAGGAAGGCTGACGTTTCGGGCCTAGACCCTTCTTCAGAAGTTCATCCAGCTCTACACCTTGTTATCTCAGATTCTCCAGCATCTGCAGTTCCTACTTTCTTTCTGTCAATCCATTTTACTACTATTATTGTGTGGTCTTCAGTTGACAAATATCCCACTGAATAATGATCTTTGTTGCAGCTCGTAGAATCCCTACAATGTGGAAGCAAGCTATTCGGTCCATTGAGTCCACACCAACCCTCTGAAGAGCATCCCACCCAGACCCATCCCCCTACCCTGCATTTCCCAAAGTTAACTCAACTAGCCTGTGCATCCTTAGACACTATGGGCAACTTAGCATGGCCAACCCACTGAACCTGCACATCTTTATTTTCTATTCCTTTTGAAATAACATGGAATTACATTGTCCTTCCCTGAAGTTCTGCCATGACAAAAGTTCTGAGCAGCCATTTCTACATGTCCAGAATGCACCTACAAACTCAGCATTTTTGTGCTATTCCACCATCCCTTCATTGAAAAGATACAATAATATCTCATTGCACAAGCTGGCATTGCAGTAGCTGTTTTGTCTGCCCGGGATGCGTGTTTCAAATCTTTTATCTTCAGGTTGCTCGCTGTTGGAGTGTAGTTATTGCCAATTGATTCACTTGGACTTCTGTAGTAGCGTTGCTCTTTGAATGGAATGGCCAAAGGCCATGAGATATCTTGCATTATGGGAGGATGACGACTATGACGCAATACCGTCTAAAAAGCAAACAGGTTACAGAACCTTCGATAAGATTGAGCATCACTAAAATGTTCAAATGCATACTGCAAAAATAAATATGATGAACTGGTTTTAATGTACAAAATATTGTGCAATTATGAAAACTAAACAGAAAAGTACCACTGTCACCTAGTTACTAAATTATTGGAAATAACAACTGGTGATTACATAAATGTTCATCGAAGGCTGCTCCAGAATATTATAAGAAAATTCAGACTTCTGTAAAATAAATGCTAAATTATAATAAAATGTTTTTAATATGGCAAGATCTACCTGAATCCCACACCTGTGCAGCAGTATCTGTATCCTTCAGAACTCTAGAGGTTAAAAAAATTGTTTAGCTGGATCTGGTTTCTGTCCTTATCCAACCTTTACAAATTGATTGACTAGTTAACAGCAACTAGAGACAGACAATAAGCTGGCCCAGCCAGCAATGTCCAGATCCCATGAGTGAATAAAAAGTATCACTCAGATACCAGACATTGAAAAGGTTATTTTTATTTGCCTTTCACGAAGGCATTGTTAACTGGCAAAGGGGAAAAGCTCAACAGTGGCGAAAGCCGCCAATGCCTGGATTTCCAAGGTAACAATGTAATTTCAAGCCATGACATGGATCATATCAGTAGTGCCTGTTACATAGTTTAATGTATGAATAATACACTGGTAGTAGCAGTATTTGAGTATTGCTAAAACAAAAAGATACATTTTGTTTTAGCTTGTTGTCTTGCACTTATCAGGACAATTCACAATAAATACCAAAGTAAAAGGATTACAAGTTTTATACTGTATGAAAAGAGAATGCTGATTGGTTGGCAGATGGTGTCTAATTGGTAGAGGTGTTGACATGGAGAACACATCAGTTAGGTGAGGACTGACAATTAACTATCAAGCTTTGACTAAATCTTAAATCAGACAAGGTGACTTGATTAATCAAGGCATTGTCTTGAGAAATGAACAGAGAATACATTTTTTTTGTGATTTGTCCTCATGCACGCAAGACAGAAGGCTTTGACAAAATGGTCTTTTATCAGAGGTGCTCAAGTTTAATAGAAATTAATCAAAATCTTAATGAATAGTGGAAAGGGATTAATCATGACCATGCAAACAATTTAAGGTCACAAGACTTTGTACGTCAACACTCAGTCAAAACTGACACTAAATAATTTACTCACTTTAACTTTCAAATGATCAGCCATGTTTGCAGATAGATTTAATGGATGTGGGTAGCAGCATTTATCTGCTGCTGCGCCTGCACTGTGTCAAAGTGGCCAAATCCTGACTTCAAATATCCTCCAGCAATCATTTGGGAATAGATGTCCCCTGATGGATGGCTTCCAAACGACATAAATGGCTGCCTCTGTTCTCACAGCCAAAATGGTTTGTGGAGAGGCCTGTCACATGGAAGAAGTGCAGAGTTGCTTTATGCAACTTTCGCTTGGAGAAATAATAAGAAGCTGATTGCCTGATAAACATCTTCATAAATTGTATTAAGGCTGTGGCTAAGTGAACTGACTTCACAACTACCCATTACTCAAACAATGAGTAAATCTTTTGAGAGTCTCATCTTCTGAAATGACAGGGAGTGGACACACATATGTGCCAAAATAAGTTTAATTCCTAGCCCAAGATATGTCAAGCTAAATCAATCGTAAAACTATAACCCATAACATACATCTAGCTCCCTGAACCAGCAACTAATGAAAGAATTAAAGAAATTACGGAAAAATATAAACCTACAAACTAGAATTCCATAAATCAAAATTTCAATAGAAAATACTTTTAATCACTATGCTTTGACCTATACTGTACAATCTCAGCAGAAAATCCAAAACATGCTGCTGCCAGATGATAATCTTGAGACTATGGGTTTAACAATGCAACTGCATTTGTTAGAAATGAAACATTTTCCAAATATTGAGAAAAAACAAAATCATAAGAAACAATAGGTCTAGGCCCGAAACGTCAGCCTTTCTGCTCCTATGATGCTGCTCGGCCTGCTGTGTTCATCCAGCCCTGCACCTTGTTGTCTCAAACAATATTAAGGCCTGTTTGTCCACGCAGTCAACTAGAACAGTCTATGATGTACTCTTATACTTCCTCACAAGTAATATCATGTGTGCTGTAGTGGCAGTTTCACTTCAGATGACTTGATCCTGCTCCACAGCTTTTAAAAAAAACACCATAACAGTCTGAGGAAGTTTGAGTAGACCATTTAGGACAGAGATGAGGAGACATTTCTTCACCCAAAGAGTGGTGACCCTATGGAATTCATTACCACAGAAAGTAGTTGATGCCAAAACATTGAATGTATTCAACAGGCAGCTAGATTTGCACTTGAGATGAATGGGATCAAAGGTTATGGAGAGAAAGCAGGATTAGGCTATTGAGTTGGAAGATCAGCCATGATGGCTCAAAGGGCCAAATGGCCTCCTCCTGCTACTATCTTCTATGTTTCTTTGTTCTTATGTAACAGACAACTGTAGTGTAAAAGTTAAAAATATGAATCAAAAAGCACAATTGTTGCAAAAAAAACACTGGCTGGTTCTCACAATGTTCATTCAATGTACCTAACAAGGTTTGATAAATCCAACTAGGAAATTCTGAAGGAGCATCATGTTGGAATCGAAATATTATTCTGTTTCTCTCTCCAAAGATGATGCCAGACCTGCTAAGTTTCTCTAGTGCTTTCTGTCTTTATTTCAGATCTCAACATCTGCAATACTCTGCTTTATTAAGATTTATGAAACAGTTTTGTCATTTGGTAGGAGAGTGTGAGGAAAAGACACGTTTTATCAAAGATTTTCATCTCGCACTCATCTGGATAATTCACGAAAATAAAAATTCAAGGGTACCAAGATTTATTCTTACAAATTGTCCTGATAAATGCCAAACAATTTGATAAATATTTGTTTCCTCTGTTTGAGGTAATAACCAGGCCAAATTAACTTCTCATCTGCCAATAGCAAGTAATGTTCCGACTCCCAGCTGTAATGAACATTGGCTGTGCCCATAGCAACATGTACCCAATAAATCCAACTAAGTTGACTGCACTATTGGCTCTGAAAACAAAGCACATTGATGCTACATGTTTGGCACTGTACACTGACAAATTCCATAGGAGGTATTTCATACCAATTTGCAAACTGGATTGTACCCATTCTCTTTTGTTCAAATGTTTCTGAGTTAATTTTATAATACAATTGTTTGAAGATCTGAAAATATTAAACAATAACTCATACAAGAGGGTTCAAGTAAAAGAATAAAATAAATGTACATTGTATTGTATTCCATAATAAACTAACTAGCCAATGACAACTGTAAAATTGTGACAATCCTTTTGTGAGTTTCTCTGAGACTTGCATGGAATTTACAAAGGTACCTAAGAATGTATGCTTGAATGCTTTATAATGTCCATGAGCCTGACAAAATAGCGTTGGAGGATTGAACTTTAAATCTTGAGCATAACCCAAATTGATATAGCTGCTGGTGGATGCATTCATACACCTATAGTGGGGATTGCAATATAATTGTAATTATAATGTAATGGATGTTTGTGTTGACAATCCTACACACTGAAAAGTAAAGTGGGCTGGATTACCAGAGGAGATACTCAATGCGTGACTGGAACGAGATCAGCCAGGTGGATCTCATAAAATATGAGTTCCCTGATTGAGGCTGTTAACTTGGTTCAATCAGGGAGACTTGGCTGACAGATATTAACAGGAATGTCAGGGGTTCTGCTCACTCTAAGAACCGGCTCTCTGCCAGCAGGGTCAGTGTCATGTATTATGCATGTGTAAACAATGGGCGATTTTTTGATGGGATAACAGCCTCTGTGGAGTTATTTCACTCACCATGGATTTTGAAAAGCAAATTATTTTCTACAAAAGATAGTGATATGATTTTAAGAGACAGTACGTTGATGAATAAATAACGAGGATGTAGAACATGTGACCAGCAGCCCTTGCACAGTCTACTTTGCAGTGTGTATCCAAGGAAATGCAGCTGTTCTTTCCTGTCACAGCAGTTGCTGAACCTTTCTCGTCATTATGTCTGCTGAGCAATCCTCAATATACTTCAAATAAAGCTGCTGTGGTGTGAGGTTGGTAAATTCATGTTAAGCAAACACAGAACCACAAAAGTGAACATAGAAACTGGAAGTAGATGTGCACAGAATCATGTTTTATAATATATAATGAAGTGTTTGTTGACACCAATAATTTCAGACTATGCATGGTCCCCTCTGATCTCTCATTCTGCATAGCTACATATGCAAAAGAAAAATTGATTTTAAAAAATTAACACCCAATCCACTTTTGATTGACACCTTTTTTTACATTTGTCAACATTTACTTTCATTAATTCCTTTCATTTTTGTGTATTTGCTAGCCTTTATCTTTTTAAATGTGGTTTGGGTGTTAGCAAATGCAGTCAATATGTAAACATAACACATGCTGAATCGATACATCTCTCTTCAGCCAGCTCACAGCGGCAGTGCAACAAAAAAACTTTACATGAAAGCTTTTTATTTTGTGTTCCACTCTTCTAAAGACTCAACGCACTGAAAGTTTAAACAAATCCCTTTTTTGTAGACCATACAAATCTGGAGTCCGGAAATCCAACAGTCAAAAGATCTTTATATCCTTAACAGCAAATAACAGACATTTCAATAGATGGATCACATTTCAATTGCACGAAATCTTTTGTTTTCAAGTGCTTACCACTAATCCATAATATATCAGGTTTCTTTTAAGAACAGACGAATCTTTCCAACAAATAATATTTGTAAGATTTGTTTTGCTGGTAGCAATTGAAAGAAAACACATCAGATTATGATATATTACTCTTCAATGATAACCTACATTTATTAAATTATTCAGTAACAATGCACCAATTTTTATATAATTTAACTTCAATTATTGCGACTCAGCTTTGTCAATATTCAAACATATGGTGACCATTGCTTTGCGCAATATGTTATGCTATGATGATCACATCAGGAAATAGAATGGTGCTGAAACACAGGCCCTGATTTTAAGTGCCCCCCCCCAAGCTGGCAGAAACCACTGGTGGGAGCAGTTAAAAATGCAATCCGAGATTTACCCCCACCAATCCTGTTGTTTTCCCACCACATCCAGATCTTCTGTGGAAGGCAGGTGGGACCACCATAGGAAGATACCAAAGTTCCGTCTTTAAAGATACAGATTACACTCACGCTGTCCACCAGGACTTGATCTGCAATTTTCGTCTGAGGCCTGAGTGAAGAAGCTGTGCTGATTTTGTTGGCAGGTAAGATCCTACATGCCTAGAGGACTGCAGCCCCAACTACACTCAAGAAGTTTACAGCATCCAGGACAACTGATATCACATCCAAAAAATATTCAATCCCTCCACCACTGATGCTCAGTAGCAGCTACAAGATGCACTGCAGCAACTCACCACAGCTCCTTAGATAGACCCACAATCAGCATCGTCTAGAAGAACAAAGGCAGCAGATATATGAAAAGCCACCACTTGCAAAACCCCTCCAAACTGCTCACCATCCTGACTTGGAAATGTATCACCATTCTTTCAGTGTCACTGGGTCAAAATCCTAACAGCATTGTGGGTCTACCTACAGCACATGGACTGCAACAGTTCAAGAAAGCAACTCAACACCACCTTCTCAAGGGAAATTAGATCATAAATGTTGACTCAGCCTGCAACAACCAAATCTGATGAATTAACAAAATAAAAACAAACCTAGGAGATGGAATGTGCATCATAAGAGTCCCAAAAGGAAAGTAATAAATATTAGACTTTTAGGTTCTTTCTTGGTGAGGAACAGCAGGAGTCAGGAGATCATCAAGCAGCCTCAGGCTCCCTTTGTTTCCCCATCCTCTTGTACCCACTCTTGATTACATCCACAGACCCCTACCCTAACTGACCCAATTACATTTCCCACAGCTGCAACTTCCTGCAACCAAATTCCTGCTCCTGCCCAATACACAGGAAGCAGATTAGGCTGGCATTGGAGAAATGTTAAACAAATAAGGTTCCGTTCACTAAGATTGCCTGGACTCTCCAGGTACACTGCTTTCTCTGGGCTGATGTTCATCATGGCCAACAATCCCTCTTCCCCTCCCCCTTCAAAATCATTGCAATTAAATCAGGAGACACTGAAAATACACATGGGTCAGTTAGAATCTGAAAGGGGAAAATATGGAGAGTTTCAGACAAAACACTTCATTGAAACAAAATGCTTCTTCTGGTCAGAAGTACTATTAGATTTTAGGTTAGTCACTGCTCCACTTGCACAGACATGTGACGGGGTTACATTAATGATCCCCAACAGTACAGGAAAATTTAAATTGCTGGAAATTGCTGAAAGCTCAGCAGGTCTGGCAGCATCTGTGGAGAGACATCAGAGTTAATGTTTTGGGTCGAGTGGTCCTTCCTCAGAACTGATGGTAGAAGTACAGGACCCAGCTGTTCACTTGTAGAACTTTGAAATCTTTAGGTTAGAATTAAGACAGATTCTTGGAGTAGACAAGACAGAGCTTTATTCTGTTTCGTACCATTTGTGTTATAATTGAGAAAATGTTTCTTGGTGCTGACACTGAATGCAGAAAAGTGATACCTAGCAGCAACCTTCATTTTAAATAGTACAAGATATAACCAAGGTAGTTGAAAACGATAGGAACAACTGAAAAGGGTAAATTATATAGGATAAAAAGTGAGACCTTAATAGTTTACTCCACCAGGTCCTGAACCAAATGTTATTTTTTTTTTGCATTAGATTATAGTTTTCAAAGATTATGTTTTTATTCCCTAGCTCTGATGACTTGGGCTAAAAATTAATGGCCACTTTTATATTGTTTCTAACCACTAGCTTCTGTTGTTTGAATCTCCAGCAGCCACAAAAAGCTAGAAGGTCTAATTCTGGCCAGCCGGCATCCAGGAAGTTCCATCTTCCCTTCACACATGCTGTGGGTTTAACTGTGGCCAGTAAAATAAAACCTGCCCAGCGAAAGCACAACTTGTCAGCTTGCCAGTGAGTCACCCTTCAGGTTTCTCTCACATCCATTGGCCAGCTGGTATTTTCTGCCCATGTTAGATTATGGGCCACCACGACAAACCAGGGAGACCCCCATGGCTCAAGCCTTGGAGAGCTTGTGCAATTTCCACTTGTACCACCTCCTCACACCTTTCCAAGAATTAAAAATCACTCTTGGGCCTTTCAAAAGACAATGTTATCAGCAACATTTCAACTTGACATCTTTTAAATCAAACCTTATAAATGACCAATGTGCAACTTTACCCAAGAAGCCTGTTTCCAGTCAAATTAAATTTAAATTCATTTTGCACCCGGGTAATACACATTTTTTTTAAAAAGCTTTGGTAGAAATGTTGGTATGAACAAAACACAAACAAATTAGGAGAGGATAGGAGACTGCAGAAGAACTGTTTTATAGCTGTCAACAATGAACATTGCTAACTAGGAACTAGGAAAACCTGAATTCACTGACGGAATGAATTATTTACAAAGTAATGTGGTATCTCTAGCTTATGGCTGTATATGTTCAGGAGCTCCTCTATGGGAAAGATTGTAGTGGGTGCTATTAAATGAACATTGCATCAATTGGTATTATTATATTTCGGCTTGAGATCTGAGATGAAGTAAAAAGGGTAGCAACTGCTTGGTTAAAATATTCCAGCCTTGAGAATATGCAATGAAATCACACTAGCTGTACCTCACTAGTCTGCAGTGGGCATGTTTAGGAAGATAGTTTTGTTTTATATGTAGAAATATGTATCAGTTTTTTTAAAGACCTTTCCTAACTGTCGCCTGTTGCCTTGTGGCAATATAAATACTGTGGTAACTAATGTTTTCCTTATGTGTTGTGGCTTTAAGTTCAGTGGAATTGACAATTATTGAAGACATTGATGAATTCATCTAATTCTGTTTCTGTGTGAGTCCAAACACATAATATGTCAACACAAATACAGAAGGTAACGTTACATCATAGTATTACCTAATAATGGGTTAGTGAGAATGGAAAAGTAGCCTGCAAAAACCAAAAATATCCCTGAAGAGGAGCTTCAAAATAAAACAAAATTGGACCCTGTTTGCCGCAGATACTTTAATTTACTTCTTGGAAGTTGTCTCCAGCTACTAATAGCTATTATAAAAATGCATTTTAGGGGAGTTGAGATTCAGATGTGATTTTAGCCCAAGTATGACTTCACTCTCTCCAAAGCCAGACCAAATTAATTCAAACTGAGACTGAGTTGGGTTGATGTAACTTTTCCTTCCACATTTAAGAGGAACATAGAAGCAATAGGTTATGATGACAGTTCCGTAGTTTAATTGGTACAATTTGTGTTCATGCAATTATACAAAATAAGGAACACTCAGCGTTATCCCAATTTGATGGGTCATCTCATTGAGCTTAAAGATAATAAAGTTTCTGCATTCTGTTCTGGTTAAATAACACCATTTTTGCAGCCTCCTTCTGTCTATCTAACCATCTTTGCAACCAGACAAGCTTTCTTTCTGGTTTTGTCACTCTGATTTTTGAAAGCCTTTGTCACAAATAAATGTTTTTGAAAATCAGGACAAACTAATGAATCACTTAATGTTCAGGCTCTGGAACAAATAATTTCCTATTTTTAACATATTAACCACCTTTTAGCTGGTTGTCCCAAGTATACATTCTGTTTTTGAAGTGTCCAGCATTGAAAGTAATTGTTTCAAACTCCTTTCTCTCGTAAAATAACCTCTTAAATTCAAAAACATGATGGGGTGATGAAAGAATGACGTAGATTGCCAAGATGGTGAGATAATGAATAAGACTGCCTGAAAGTATTGTGGAGTCACCAGTATGTCAGAGGCAAAATGAGAACTTTTCATGAGGTGTTCATGAATCCATTGTTACATTATATCTTAGTCAATTAAACATAAAGTACCACATTTCACAATACCCTGGCAAATTATTTCTACAAATTGACTTTAACTGATCTTCACCTATGATAATATAATGATACACCTGACATTTAGATTATACTTTACTCTCTGCAAAAATTAGTTTACCTTATATAATTCTGAAGCTTCGCTACAGTGGTTAGGAGGCAGAGGTGGTAACCCAGGCAAGCCTCTTGTATAACTACTGTGAAGTATAGGAAGATCCTGTGACTAAAATCAACAACAAGAGGGTTATTTATTTCTGAATAATTCAGTGTAACAAGAGTCTTCACTAATAAATCTACTCTAGGAAAACTCGTTTTAAGAAGTAATATATCAGAATTTTTGATGCAGCAGCTGATAATTTTGAATGGGATGTGGTGTCATTTGCTGCCTATCCTTAATCCCCTTTGAACCAAGTGGCCTGCTAGGCTATATAAAAGTTAAACATGTGGCTGGGGTCTGGAGTCACATGTAGACCAGACCAGTTGAGAATGGCAGATTTCCTTCACTATTGGATGTTACTGATGGGTTTACAGCATCCAATGTTAGCTTCAGCGTCATGAATCAATTCCAGATTTCATTTATTGAATTGAAATTTCACTGTTTATAGTTGTGCTATTTGAACCTTAGCATCCAGAGCATTAGCCTGGGTCACTGGATTATAAGTCCAATAACCTTATCATTATGCCACCATCTCCCATGCTCTTTAACTTCAAAGTTTTCTGTAGTTCTAAACTTATATACTTCAGTGACAAACGGTGAAGTCATTGCAGTAAGGTATTTTATCAGGCTTGCTCCTGAATCTATACTTTATCATTTTCCCACTAACTTGTGGGAAACATGACTTTTAGAAAATTTGACGACAGGGTTTCAACTTCGGAAAGTGTCCAGAAAGTTGTTCCATAGGAGTGGACCTCGATTTCAAAAAAGGAGGAACTTCAAACAGCTCCCATTAACTTGTGACAAATTAGTCAGTCAGTTTGATGATATATGGGATTTGTTGTTTGCTGGTAAGCTTTTCTGTAGAAAACTTGAATTGGTAAAAACTCCATAATCAATAGAGACATAATAATACCATTCTCTCTGTTTTTTTTGAAATTCATTTATGGGAAGTGGGCATCACTGGCTGGATCAGCACGTACCATCCTTAAATCCCCAGAGGGCAGTTAAGAGTCAACTTCATTGGAAGATCGGAGTGGGTCTGGAGTCTCTTGTAGGCCAGAACAGGTATGGGTGGCAGATTTCCTTCCATAAAGGGAATTAGACAACCAGACAGGTATTTCCTGACAATCAGCAATGGTTTCATGATCATCATTAGACTATTAATCCCACATCATTATTGAATTCAAATTCCACCAACTGCCATGGCAGGATTCGAATGCAAGTCCCCAGAACATTACCTAGATCTCTGGACTAATAGACTGGCAATAATTCCACTAGGCCATTGCTCACCCCATTAAATGTACAGGCTTGTACTCTTTTATATATAGGAATGAGAAAAAATTATATACGTAATCTAAATTGATTAGTGTTTGAAATTCACAATGAAAGGCTGATCTTCCAACTAAGCATCTTCTATCATTTTCAAATCTAGTTGCAGAAACATTAAGTCCTAAGAGCCATGAGTCATGAGTCATGGTTCTCAACATTGCAATCATCTCCAGATCTTAGACACTGAGGATCATGGCCGGAGGGTCTCAAGGGGCCCAAGAACAGGGTGACCGATGATACCTTCTCCACCTCTGGAAATTTACTAGCAGTGGGGAGTAGGACATAGGGATAGTACTCACTGCCATTTCACCTGATTTTAAATCCCCCATCTGCCAGCCCGGAGCTGATGCCTGGACAGAAATTCCAGCTCATGTTTCCATGCCTGAACATCAGAAACAACAAGGTGGCATTGAGCCTAATCAGCTCAGGCACCCCTCTTTGTGGGAAATCAATCTCATTAGAAAAAAAATTTGCTTTGCAATATTCAAATCTTATTCCTTCCAGTATGATTTTCCACATGTTTGTTCCATTAGTAATGTTGTGTCTATGATTCATACATCTGGAACTCTGCTCTTGAGCATTTTGGTAAGTAATCTGTTTGCTATCCGAGCCTGGTATGGTCCATTTAAAAGTCCTTCCACCAAAAATATAGCTAAGGCCATCGGTTGCCTCTCAAATTGCTGCAGTAGGTGGCTTATCTCTGATTTGATTATCCTCTCTTCCACTGTGTTTATCTCTTGACACCAAATACCCATCTCAGCTTATCATTCAACTCTGTCAACTCTTAACCCCAGCATCCCATCAATGCATTTCTTCAAACACTTTCCCCAGTGGAGCCAGATCCAGAATTGGATTGTTGAGTCACCTCAAGAGCCACAATATAGGAAAGGAAGAAAGTCATGCTCAATCCTTCCTAACTTTTTATTTACTAATTTCACCTTTATTCATTAACTTGCTTTTACATGACCTCAGTGTGCACAAACTTCATGGCTCTTACATTACAATGGTTAATTTCACTGTATCTTGGTTTCCTTAATGCTCTCAATTCCAATTCATCACAGACAATATAACGTGAATGAAAGTGAAAGTATCCACTTTGATAGAGTGAAAAAAAGGCAGATTATTTGATGTTCAAAGAGGATCTGAATTTGTTGATGAATTGCCATAAGCTAGTGTGTAGGTGCAGTAGCAATTAGAAAGTAAATACAGCATTGGCCTTCATCACATGGGAATTTGAGTCCAAGAGTAAAGATGTCTGAAGAAGGATCACTGGACCCAAAATGTTAACTCTGGTTTCCTCTGCAGATGCTGCCAGATCTGCTGAATTTTTCCAGCAATTTCTTTTGTTTCTGGTTTCCAGCATCCGCAGTTCTTTCCATTTTTTGTTTCAATAAAAATGTCTTGCTGTGCTTGTATAGAGCCTTCGTGTGATTGCACCAGTATTGTATGCAGTTTTGGTCTCCTTAGCTGAGGGATGATGTGGAGGATCACCAGACTAATCTCTGGGATGGCAGGTCTGTCCCATTAGAAGAAATTGAAGACACCAGGCCCATATTCCATAGACTTTCAGAGAATGACAGCAGCATCATTGAAACTTTTTAAATTCTAACAGGGTAGATGACGACAAGACGTTTCTTCTGGCTGATACGTCAAGAATCAAAATACGGTCTCAAAATAAGGGTAAACCACTTACGACTGAGACGAGGAGGTATTGCTTCATTCACAGGCAATGTTCAATCTTGTTGTTTCTGCCATTGTACAGACCTCTGAGGTCCATGCACAGCAACAACACACAGAAGCAAGTTGTCAGCATGCCAATCAACACTCACAGCTCCACAGCTGCAGAAAATTGCTCAGAGCGTGGCGAATGTTTGAAATTCTCTACTCCAAAGGGTCATAGAAGATAGTCATTAGACAACTTCAAAAGAGAAATCAATACATTTCTAGAAACTAATAACATCAAGAGATATGGAGATAATGGTGTAGAGGTTGGTGATAAGCCATAATTGCGGTTGAAAGGTGGAATGGGTGCAATGGGCTGACTGATCTATTCCTGTTCCCATTTCCTTGTTTCTAATTCCATTATGTCTCACAGAAGTAGAAACAATAGGGACCACCTCTCATTTTTGATGGATTCATCCTCAGTCCACCTTGTTGTGTTCTTGATCATACTTCCTTCTCTGACCACAATTAGAAAACCTCACCCTTCAATCACTGAGCTGTCTCCTGAAACCTAGTTTAACTTTTTACTTAATCCCAAATATTTTTCCCCTCAATAACTCAGAACTCTTTTTTAAAGCCTAAGTCTACTTATAACCGAGTAGTTAGATTTTTCAATTCTGAAGGGTCACCGGACCTGAAACATTAACTCTGATTTTTTCCTCCACGGATGTTGTCAGACCTTGAGCTTTTCCCGCAACTTCTGTTTTTGTTGTTGTTGAGTAGGTAGATTTTTTCAATTCTGCTGCTGCAATCTTGTGACAAAGCTATGTCATCAACTGCAGCCCAAAATGAAGTTACAGGGATTGTTGACTATGGCAATGAATTTCGATAACTCTGGATTAATCCAAACTGCAAAAGGTGTTGCATCAAGCAGGTTGTCACACTGGCTCCTTCCAGAGCATAATGAATATCTAAATTCCCCAGAATGTCGGTGAAACAAGAATAACAGGATTCTCACAAGTTTAGGGCATTGGGTTATACCAGCATAACCTTACACAATACATAAGAGATTCCAGTCTAACTATCAGCAGGAAGGACTTACATTCACTCAGTATACGGATAATGTGCAATGAGAGGAATTGTGTCATGCAAATATACACATGAACAACACACAAAATGAAGCTATACTTGGGAAGCCCCTTTCCATATTCCCCTTAATGCTTTGAAAGTGAGTGACGTTGGAACCCAGAGCCAAAATAAGAACAGTTGAATCTTCCATCAAAACTGCCAGAGCTGTCACTAGAAGCTACAGAACTGAGTGTTTCATTGTAGTATCCATAGACCTGACTATGCTTGACTTCGCTTTTTTCATGCCAGTGAAAAGACCCCATAAAAGCTGGTGTTGAACTCATCCGTACTATAACATTGTATTTAGGCCCCCTGCTGCAAATCTAATGAATCAAGCAGTTGATGGTGCCCTGACATCAGTCTTCTTCTGTAGGTTTGGTCTTTAAATTAAAATCAGCATGTGTCCTTCAGCAAGTTAGCTCCAGGATTTATCCTCCTGCCCTTCACTCTGTACATTTATAATTGATGACACCTCCAGTGCAGATCCATTTAACTGATCTTCTAAACCATATAGGTTGATAATTTCTGAACAGGTGCCTGAAACTATACATATTGATTGTGATTGTGTGTGCTGAGGAAAATTGCCTCCCCCCACCCCTTCCTCTGTTTTTGGTCATGGATGTGAGCAGAAAAGCCAAAGACATGGATTAGTAGTTAGTGGGAAGGGTTAATAGTTACAGGTGAGTGAGATGAAATTGCAAAGAAGAGCCATTTTGAACTTGCAACATTAACTCCATTTCTCTCTCCATAGATGCTGCCAGACCCGCTGAGTTTCTCCAGCACTTTCTGCTTTTATTACAGATGAGTGGGAGGTCATTGCAGGACAACTTGGTCATGCAGAGTGTGTGAGAGAGACACTTAAGTAAGAAAGGAAAAACATGAAGGCAAAATGAGAAAATGTCAAGGGGTGTGCCCTCCAGCCTCACCAGTTGCAGTGTTTGTCATCACACTGACATGAAGCAAATTGCCTTGATATTCACCTGCATTCTATTTTGAAAAAAGTACAAAATTGTTGCTTGGCCTGCTGTGTTCATCCAGCTCTACACCTTGTTATCTCAGATTCTCGAGCATCTGCAGCTTCTACTATCTCTGAAACAAAATAATCACCTAACTCCGTCAGCAACATTTGAGAATCAGAATGCCTTGCCGTACTTGAGACTTATATCATGCAGTGCTGACTCATTTCACCTGATGAAGGAGCATCATGTGATTTCAAATAAACCTGTTGGACTATAACCTGATGTTGTGTGACTTCCCACTTAAATAAAGGCAGTGAATGA